CACTGGACAGTAAATCTTGGCTTCTGAACTATGGATGTCTTTTCAGCACCTAGAAAGGTTACAGCCAGTTTCTTCCAGTGGGAATTTTGTCTCATCCACCCTCGTGGTGTGGACATTTGCTCATCTACCTATGTGGCATGGGATGTATGGGCCATCCTTCCATGAGAGTGAGATCTGAGATTCATGGGATCCTCAAGGTGAGGCAGTAGATTACTCTTAGCTCAGTAACTAGAAGACCCTGGGTCAGGTTGTGTTTCTGGCATCTCTAGTCTTCTTTCCACCATGGCCATCCTTTATGGACCAGGGTCTTCTTTGAAGGAAGAAGCCCTCTTTCAGGTACGTGTAGGTGAATTTAAAGTGGGTTTTTTGTAAGTTTATTTATGTTCCTTAAGTAATTCTCAAAGTTGGCGTTCTTACACTTATATTTTACAGGTAAAAAGCTCAAAGGAAAATTTCTCAGAATCGTCTCCCCCGTGTCTCCTGCTAGACTTCACTGCTGCTATGCAGTGATCACCGTCCTCACTGGAGCTGTGATTGCACTTTCTGTTGCTCTGTCATTGTCAGGTGAGTGACATCTCCAGATCCTGCAGCATTCTGTCCACATCCACACTGTCAGTTACACTTACTGAACACTGTGAGCCAGGCACTGTATGAAGGGCAAGAGAGAAAACACACTGGAAATTCCTGTTCTCTGGGAATTTAGGGTCTAGCAGGAAGTTGCAGTGAAGGAACACAGCATAGGCTGTGGTGTGCACAGGAGGCCAGGCGCAGCATCCCTGGGAAGAAGCATCCCTCTAGAGAGATGCAGGAGAGATGTCGACCTGGAGGAACTATTCAAGGAAGGGGACAAGGAGAAAAAAACAAGTAGGAGCCTCAAGGAAGCTGCTACAGCTAGGATCAGTGAGGGCAATGAAGAGTCTTATGGTTGGGGAAGGTACAGGACACCCCACGACCCCATAATTCATAGTTTCAGTAGTATCTTCATCTATGGTCTGAAAATATTAAATAGAATGCTCCAGAAATATGCTGTTCCTGAGCTTTTAGTTTTAGACTATTCTGAATACTGTGATAAAATCTTTTACAACTTCCCTGCCATTGCTGAGTAATGATTCATGATATTGTTTTATAAAACCAACTTTAACCACATCAATGACTAATACACAAGTCTAAACAAGGACAAACATTTGTCCACAAGACTTAGTATGTATAATCTAAACTGTCACATGTCTCTACGTAACAGTTACCCGCAGGGCCTGTTGCATTTGTTTCTTTCATTAAAGCCTTGTGGTCTGTAACATGAGGGCCGGCTTGTTGGGGGTTTCTGTCCCACCCAGTTCCCACAGCTGTTTAGCCCCAAAGAAAATCACCCATTATTCTGATCTATGTTAGCCATATGGCTCAGTACCTTTTTCAGCTGACAGGTGACATCCTGCTTCCTCAGTGGTCTGTGCAGGACTGGGAGGAATCAGCTTCCTCCTTCTTAGAATTCTCCCGTTCTCATTGCATAACCTCTACTTCCAGTCTGGTTTTCCTGCCTATACTTCCTGCCTGGCCAATCAGCGTTTATTTAAAACATGATTGACAGAATACAGACAATTTTCCTGTACCACTTTCCCCTCCTTTTTTTTTTTTAAATAAAGGAAAATATCCAAAGTCCATTTTTTTTTCATTGGGGGAGTAAATGTGGTCTTAGTATTCCAGGCTACTTCTAGCTGGTTGGGGGCACTGATAATATTATGGGGACCTAAAGAAAATTTAGAATTATGATCAAGTCCTGACTGAAGCATCCTGTGAGTCTCGATCATCTCAGGCAGCAGTCTTGAACCTGTTCTGGATGAAGAACTCAGACTCAGGGCCATCTATTCCTGCCGGAGATTTCTTAGGTGATCTTCCTCGATCAAAGCTGATTTTTCTTAACTCTGAATAAATCCAGAACCTCTTGTTTTCTGTGAAACAAAGGCAAAAATCTCTTTTCCAAAGTAACATACATTTTGACTTCAATTTTGGAGTCAAGGTATTTTCAAAATACCTATATTGGATTAATTCTGCAGCATTTATTAGCAAATATCTTTTAGCAGCTGTTGTTCCTTCCTCAGCATTCAAAGAATTTAAAGAGAGCATAATAACATCACATACTCTGTGTATTTTCCATCTTTACGTGACTTTATTTTAACCTCTATTTCTTTTATTTTTACTTTTAACTTTTGTTTTTTTGAGACAGGTTCTCTGTGTATCTTTGTCCCGGAACTCCCTCTGTAAACCAGGCTATCCTTGAACTCACAGAGATCTGTCTGTCTCTGCCTCCCAGGCAAATCCTACCTTCATGCACCACCACAACCGGCTACTCTCTTCCTTCCTTCCTTCCTCCCTTCCTTCCTTCCTTCCTTTTTTTTAACTTTGAGAACTTTAACCTTTAGCCTGTATATATTGTTAACACACTGTAAAGCATTTCGAGGTTTTCTTCCTCTTTGAATCTCTCTTTACTGTATATCTCTCTTTTTCTGACCATGTGGGTCTTTAATTTGCTAAGGAATATGGAGAAGATTAAAACTGTGGCTTTGACTACTAGATCCAGCCTATTCCTTAGCTTTATGAAATTCCACCCTCATGGTGGAGGTACCGGTTGTAGCCACATTTTTTGCCACAAACCTATGATGTTTTAAGGGCCTTGCCAGCAAGCAAGATGCAACAGTGTGTCCATAAACAACACTCAAAAGCTTCATAGTCGGGATTACCTGCTTGAAAGAGTCAGAGTTTTCCCTGGCAGGATGGTCCAGAAAGTCGGCATTTTAAAGCAGTGCAACTTTTTTCCTGCTAAGGCTGAAAACTGAAATGCTTTACTCTAGTCTTTCCCAAGCTTTCTCAGGCTTTCTGTGGATGCAGTTATCCACGTGGGCACCATTCTGTAACATGAGGGGTCAGGCTTGTTGGGGGTTTCTGTCCTGTCCGGTTCCCATAGCTGTTTAGCCCTAAAGAAAATCACACAGAGGTCTCCATAAGTTATAAAACTGATTGGCCCATTATCTCAGGCTTCTTATTAGCTCTTATGACTTATATTAACCCATTATTCTGATCTATGTTAGCCATATCGCTCGGTTCCTTTTTCAGCTTGCAGGTCACATCCTGCTTCCTCAGTGGTCTGTGTAGGACTGGGAGGAATCAGCTTCCTCCTTCCCAGATTCTCCTGTTCTCATTGCATCACCTCTACTTCCCATCTGGTTTTCCCGCCTATACTTCCTGCCTGGCCAATCAGCATTTATTTAAAACATGATTGACAGAATACAGACAATTTTTCGCACCAGTGGCAGTGTGTATAAGAACTGGAAACAGTTACAGCACATTGCCCTTTACTAAAAATAAGTGTGTGAGTGTCATTTCTATTATTTAATATTTATCATTAAATCATTTATTTCTATCCTCTGTAGCCCTTCCAGAGAGCCATGTAGTCATTCTTACCTTTTAAAGGAAGAAAAAGGCAAAGTTATTAAAGGAAAATGTTATTTTTCTAGACAATCTTGCATTCAGAACTTCTTACACACACACACACACACACAATCACCCTATTATGATAGACTCACAAATGAACACATCACACTGCTCCATTAGCATAGCCACACAAACAAGGGCCAAGACTCAAACCCTGGGCATCTCACTGAATTTTCACACAGTTAGAAAAGCCATTCTGAAGCCATGGAGCTTTGGTTATGGTTTTAGACTTTCACTGTATTTACATTTTTATATACCTATTAGCCACAAATTAGAAAAAACACCAGCAAAGTTGAAATTAGAAAAGCAATGCTCTTTGTAAGTTTTTATGACTTTGGCCCCATTGCCTGAATCTTATCCTTCCTTGTCACATTATGTCACCCTTCCTTGTTCTCCTGTCTACGTGTTACACCATGCCCTCACACACAGCTGTTCACACTGTGCATCCCAGGCTGGGACAAGCATATGAGGGAGTGCATGGGGTCTCTTGCTTGCTGAGTTTGTGTGACCTTATTTAATGTTGTACTTTGTAGATCCCCCATTTTTCTACAAGTTTCAAGTTTTCTTTATGTCTGAATAACTTTATGTGTTACACATGTACCACATTTTCATTATCTGTTCATCAGTTGATGGACATCTAGGTCAGGTCTATTTTGCTGCTATTGTACACGGGGCAGCAGTAGACATGGATGTACAGGTCTCTCTATTATGATGTAATGTTCTCTCATATATGCCCAGGAGTGGCATAGCTGGTTCACAAAAGGTCTGCTTGTAACTTTTTAAAGGAGCCTCCATACTGGATGTTTCAGTTTATTCTCCCACCAGCAATAAATAAGTGTCCCTATTTCTGCAGAGTTCTGAATCTGCTGTGAGATTTGTTGATAATTGCCATTTTGACAGCTGCTAACGAGAGTCAGTATATATTCATATGTCTTTAATGTTTGTGTACATGATAACAAGTAGGCCTCGATCAGAGTTCTGGTATCAAAAAATGGTTAGACCAAGTCATGTTTTGCATGTTGGTATTTCTCCATAGTTAAATTCAGAGAGGTCAGAAGCCCTCTTCATTTGGTCATTACAAAAGCAGGATGTGAAACAGGATCATAAGAAAGGAATCTGTAGGATTCCAGCAATCAGGAAGAGTCTTCATGAGGTAGTGACTATGATTTTGTTCAGGGTATGGTGTCTTTACTCCCTGCACTCAGGAGGCACTCACAGGAGGATTACTACAAAATCAAGACAAGTATAGCCCACAGAGTGAGATCCAGGCCATGCAGGGAGAGATAGAGAGATTCTGTCCCCAATATCAAAATACAAACAAGAGAAGCATTTCCTTACATGAAGGTTCTTGACTGGAGACCCCCATGCTAAAAGGAGTATATTAGTAACCAGTAATGATAGGTACAGTCTAAACACACACCTCACGATGGAAATTGAATGGTTAACCAAGGAGACAAGACATGGAAATGTTTATCTATGATATGTATTTGCACTGTGCACATTCTAGTGAGAAAAGAAGAAAAGGCCATTGCGAACCCTGAAGCTGGCTATGCTACCTGCCCAAGAGACTGGATTGTATTTGGAAGTAAATGTTTTTATTTTTCTGAGCACACAAGTAACTGAACATCCAGCCAGACCTCCTGCATGGAGCTGGGGGCCCATCTAACTCAATTTGACAGTCAGGAGGAGCTGGTAAGAAAGGATCGGGAATTGGTTGTTGTTTGCTCCTATGGAAGATGTATCGCCTTGAGATAGAGAGCTTAAAGCTGGAACATGAGGAAGGTTCTCATCCTAGGCACTGGAGGACATGGGACACATGTTAGCATGTACCATTTGTGATGGCAACACATCTGGCTGTAGTCCTGAGACATTCCAAAGATATTGTTGCCTATAGTTCTAATATTCAACCTGCAAGGCCAAACATACATTTGAGAATCGTGGTGGTCATGCAAGTCTTTGTCCCAGCTGGCAGGTGTTGCAAGCTTAAGGTGACAGCTGTTAATAACTGTAAATAAAAGTTTAACAAGGGACTTTCTCAGTCACTGAAGGATGGCTGGTTGTCAGTGTCCTGTGGATTATGACAGTAAATAACATCCACTGAGAACTGAGGGTTATTTAGGCTCCGAAGTTGATAACCCTCAGTTCAAACCTGTTCCCATCTGCAGAGTAGACTGTTGAGCAGACACTCAAGGTTCGTCTGAAACTGAGAGACTCATGTATTTGCTTTCTGTGTTTTTGACAGAATTTCCTGAATAGATTCAAGGGGGATTTTGCCGCCTGGATCGGCCTGCACAGAGAGTCATCAGAGCATCCTTGGATGTGGACAGACAACACTGAATATAACAACTTGTATGTTTTCAGAATGCTTCTCCTCCTACTGTGTTCAAGTGTTGTGATTGTGTGAGTTGTGGTTGTGAAAGGTGAAAGGCTGAGTCATGTGAAGAGAACTGAACTGGAAAGGGAGAGACCCTTGGGCTGGAGGTGTCCTTTGGTGCTGGTTGTGTGTTACATGCAACAGTCACAGTCCCCAGTAACTTCACATCCCAGCAAATTTACATCTGTTAGAGTAACCCAGTGTGTCACTCCACATCTTTAGCTTGATGATGTCATCTGCGGTAGATGGTGTCTGCTCTCAGCACTTGGATGTGAACATAGCCATTTTGAACAGAGCCATTTCACTGGAACAGTAAATGTCCATCATTAAAGACCTTTACCAATTTACTAAGTGCATTTTCTCTCAGTTTCATACTTCAAGATAGAATTGAAAACCACCCTTGGGATGCTACCTGTGGGTGAAGTTCATGTGAACATGACAATAAAACACCAGTCAAATGCTTTGTACACACAGTACAGGGTCCAACATGGATGAGTGACAAAGGTGGGGTCACCAAATGGAACCCTGAGAATGGAAAAGTCACTTGTGTAACACTAGTGCTGGCGATTCCTCATGGCCTCTGCCTTTCTGTGATCTGTGCTATAAATAAGCAGTGGACACGAGTGAGATATCATTGCTGGGGGAAGTGCAGTGGTTGACTCTGCAGAAATTTTGTTTGTTTTTGTTTTAGGGTTCCCATCCGCGGAGACGGAAACCATGCCTACCTGAGTGACAGAGGGATCAGCAGTGGCAGGAACAACATACGAAGGAATTGGATTTGTAGCAAGCCCTACAGCTATACTGTACAGTGTCCAGGAGTCTCACAGCTTGTGTAGAGAGTGTATCAAAGTAGTTTTGAGAGATCTGTAACATGTTATCTACAGTTGCAGCCTCATTTCTTTATCTTATACTACTATCAAAATCAACACCTAATCTGTGGTGACATCAGAGATGAAAACTACCATAGAGGACTATACTTATGGGGACTTGGGATTCTATGGGTGATTCTAAATTAAATAAGTGTTTTTTTTTTATGGGTTGCTACTCATTTCTTACACCTGAATAACAATCTTCTTAGTATTAGTGACCTTCACTTTTATGACCAGACATGAAAATGTTTTCATTTGCTCTTCCTTTGAATGATTGGTACATTAAAAAAATGAAGGGAGGAGCCGGGCAGTTGGTGGCAGGTGCTTTTAATCCCAACACTTGGGAGGCAGAGGCAGGTGGAACACAGAGCAAGCGCCAGGACAGGCTCCAAATGAGTGCACAGAAACCCCGTCTTAATCCCCCCAAAACAAACAAACAAACAGACAAAAATGAAGGGAGGACAGGAATGAGTCAAGATGGGTGAAACACATGGCTCCTGCAGGGGGCTAGAAAGGGAGACAGAGGAGTGGAGTCTCTCCCGCACTCTCTCCCCACTGCCCTGGAAATCCTGCTGCAGGCTGCATCACAGGTCTGCAGTCACCAAGAAGGAGCCTCAGACATGGATGCCACAGCTGCTGCAACCCAAGCCAGAGCCGGAGTGAGGCCCTGCTGGTAGAAGTCAGGGAAGAGTGGCAGAGAGAGCGGTTGTATCTTGTAAATGTGCCCTGGCACATCTGTAATTTCCGTTATCAGAACCTTCTAAAGAATATTTGAAGATTGATTTAAGATGGTGACTCGTAGGGTGGGTTTTTCTTCCTTTTTTGGTTTTCCACCTGGCGCCACCACGGCTGTGCAGCTGCCCTCAGCCCGCAGGTGTGCTGACCATACCTACAGTGCCTTCACTGAGGGCACAGAGATGTGCAGAGACCTGGGGCTCCAGTGGATTCTGCCCCCAGATACTCTGCCCATCCGAAAGATCCCCTTGTCTCTGGGCAACAAGAAAGAGCATATCCCAGACTGGTGTTAGTGGTAGTGTATGATCACCCTGGCTCTGAGCAACATCAGTATGTCTGTGATGGAGACCTGTTCATTTTCTGGATTGGGCCTCAAAAAACATCACTGGCAGCATGGTAAACAGCATAGCCTCTGCCCCCTAGTGCACCCCCATGACCACCCTGGCTCTGAGGAACGCTGGGATGTCCTAGGAGAGTAGTGTATTTTCTGGTTTGGGTTGTCTCAAAAAAACTCCATGGTGTGTGCTGCCACCACATGCCATGTTGCTGATTGTGGTGCGTGCTACAGCTGGGGCTGTTCTGGTGTCCGTGGTTCTGCCTATCTCTGTAGGTCCTGTGGAGGCCCAAAAATGTGAGCCTGTTTCCACCTTGTCTGATGATTAGTTAGAGAGTTGTAGGTTGCTCAAAGTAGCTGACAAGCATATTTGCATGTTCCAACTCAGCATGTGATTACTTAATTGTTTTCACATTAAGATAGCCCATACAAGTAGGTCCATTCAATTCTGACAGGTGGTCCAGATATGTAAATATACTTCTGCTCCTTCTTTTATAACTGTGAGGTCACCTGGGCGGTTTCTGTCTTCAGGATATGTGGTCTCAGGCAGCTGTACTGCTTAAACAACAAAATACTAATGATTTGATGTCTCAAAGTGTTAAAGCAATTAACTGTTTGAGTTGTCATTTCTATCACGTATATAAACTCTTTTGTTACATTCTCTCCCCACCTCCCTAACCCCATTTGTATTGGGTATAAAAACTTATGGAAAAATAGCGTGGGTGATTTCAGTATTCACTGAAATGCCCTCCCAGTACTTTTCTATGGTTTCTGTTTAATAATTTTTCATGCATCTTCATATTCTTATATTTCTAAAAGTCCACACCCCTACCCTGGCAAGAGGTATTTTTGCCAAGGCTGGTCCACGACAAGTCTGTGTTGATACCCATACACCATGTTGTTTCTGGAGACCATATGGATGTTCATGGTCTGTGCAGGGCTGTGTTGACGTTAGTGGTCTGTGCTGTCCCCTGAGGCCATGTTAGTGTCTGTAGTCTGAGATGCTGCTGGGGGCCATGTTGATGGTGTGGCTCCTGTTACCACCAGGACCATTGGGCTTCTGTAGTCTGTGCTACCACTGGAGGCCAAGCTGATTGATGTTCATGGCTTGGACCATGGTCTGTACTGCTGTTTCAAGCCATGTTGACATCCCTTGTCCACGATGCCACCAGGGGCCATGCAACTTATCTCATTCAGGAAAATAGCATTTTTCAGTGTTATATACTTAGTTCATTTAGCACGCCCTCTTATTTTCAATCTATTTTATTTCAGATAAACAGTGTGACACTTTCTAAAATAAATAAATACTTCCTCATATTGAAAGTACTTTGCATTTAACAATTTTAATTTTCTAATTTACCGTACATGTTAATTCCAAAGATTGGAGAAGAAAGATCACTAACCCAAACTTCATGGCCAAATTAATGAAAGCATGTTTTTTTTTTCTCTGTGTTAATGGGCTGCCTCCACTAAGATTGGGATTGAGAGGTCAGCATTGGTGGTGAGGGAGACAAGATTTTTAGGAAGTTCAATGGTAGGAAGTGTAGTCGGAGGTCCCTTGTTTGTTTCCCAGCTGCCCAGACCAGAAATAACCACACAGAAACTGTATTATTACAGTACTGCTTGGCCTATTAGCTCACACTTCTTATTAGCTAACATTTATATCTTAAATAACCTATTTCTATTAATCTGTGTATCACTATGTGGTTTGGGCCTTCTGGTAAGACATTTGGTGTCTCTCACCGCCTACTCTGAATAAATAAATAAATAAATAAATGAATAAATAAATAAATATAGCAACAACAAAAATATCTTGGCCATATAAGAGACCATATGTATGCCAAGAGAAGTAGTCATTGTGAACTGTAAAAAGCCTAAAAAAGGAATCCCCAAAGATCAGGGAACAAAGCAGCAAATATAGATGCCCTAAAATTTTCTAGAGAAGTAGAGTGGCCTCTTCAGTACTTCTTTACCCTGCCTGAACTTTATTTTTCTGTTTTGTTTTGTTTTTCAAGATAGGGATTCCATCCTGGAACTAGCTTTTGTAAACCAGGCTGGCCTTAAACTTACAAAGATTTGCCTGTCTGTGCTGGAATTAAAGGCAAGCACCACCATTGTCCGGCTTCCTGCCTACACTTTAATTGTTCTAGAGCCTAGCCTATGTACAAAGAAACCAATTGGAAAATAAAAAGGAAAGATAATAAAAGAGGAAATAAAAATTAAAAAAGATAATAAAAAAGGAAAGAAAAATAAAAGGAAAATAAAAAGGAAAGACGACAAATGGATGGTCATTTCTGCTGAATGAGGGACCTGTACTCCCTGCTTTTATCAGAAGACAGATGGTCACCAAACTGCACCGGGCTACCCATCTGTGGGCAACTATAACTGCCCAGATATCAGGTTCAGATATTATTCCTAGATTGAGGTTTCCTGGACCTCTTTCTGGGGTCCAGCAATGGCCTGGTCTTCCTTGTCAACATTTTCCTAAATCTGGCTAAGGTCTTGAATGTTGATTGGAAACCACATTGTACATATAGGACACAAAATTCAGGGAAGACAGGAAGGATAAATGGAAAGGAAACATAATCTAGGCATGTCATTGAGACTGGTGAGTACTGGACCAATCTTCTGCCATTTGCTCTCCTAAGGGAGAGATGCATCTCATATCAAGAAATTCCTAAGACAGAAATTACTAATCATTCCTTCCCTATATCCTCACAGGTCCTGTGATAGTCACAGGGACCATTCATTAGACAGTTTGCGAGGTTGTATGTTTGCCTTGAGCCTGCACATAAGTTCAAGTTTGGCAATCTTGTGTTTGTAAAGAGATCTTGACAAGGAGCCTTGAGCAAATATGGAAAGTCTCAAACCCTGTGGTTCTCACACTGCTATAGAATCAATGGTGTCCCCTGTGCTCTCATCATACCTGGCCTAGATAGACTACATATCATAAGGCCAGAGGGGTTATCAGCAGGCATTCTGACTCCCTAAAGATAAGACTGACATGGGCCGTATAATTACACTTGTTTTATTTTCTCTTTTTTGTCTCCAGGGAAAAAGGTCCCAACCTTCCATAAGCCAGAAACTTCTTTATGGAGATTCACGAAGACTGGAACCAGGCAGTTCATAGCCAGTCTATCCACGGAGACCCAACTACCCAACTTCCTGGTAGTTTCTTTAAAATATTACACCTAGACACAATTCGTCTATGGTTTGCTTGATCATGGAGAGGAGAAAAAAAAATCCTGGAACTGTGGATCCACTGGTGAAGAAAAAGGGCTATGATCTATCCAGTACTATGCCTGCCTGACTCTACCCCTCAGGAACAATTACCCTGATATTTAAACCAGATAAAGATCTGTCAAAAAATGAGTATTGCAGACCAAGTTCCCTTGTGAACATAGATGCAAAAAAAAAAAAGCTCAATAAAATACTTGCAAACAGAATCCCAAGAGCATTAAAAAGATCATCTGCCATAATCTAGTTGGCTACATCCCAGAGATGCAGGATGTTTGTTCACACACACACACACACACACACACACACACACACACACACACACACGGGGAGGGGAAAGAACGACAGAAAGGGTTGAGAGAGGGTTAGAGGAAGGAAGAAAAGTAGAAGAGGGGGGTAATTGGAGACTTCCTTTCTAATGTATAGGAATCACACAATGTGCCCACTGAAGTTGCTTGGAGGCTATGCTTCAGTATTGCCTCTATTTCACCCCATGATCCACAGGAAGATGGCAGGACCTGCAACATTGTTTGCTTTGGTAAAGAAAGCCAAGGAAATTACACCCTGGTTCTTAAAACACTCAGCAGTGAGACATTTCTACAGTTGACTTCAGTAGTCACATGGCTTGAATTCATGGGCACAGGGGATAGTCCTGTATGGCCTCTGTTGTGTTCAGATGTTTAGTGCTCTGCAGAGGCCGAGCAGGGGAGACTCCTTCTCAGCAGATGGATGCAGTAAGTGAGGGGGATTGGATCATGAGGGCTCAGCCCCCACCAAAGAATTAATCCACACATGGCTTCCTAATTTGATAGCCTTGCTCTGAGGTGAGGGCAACTTTCTAAGACGAGGCTTATCTGTTGGAAGACTCTGGAGCTGTGTCAACATTATCCTTGGTTCTGCTGCTGTCACTCCACTGGGAAGCACCACGAGTCTTCAGGCACTACTGTTCCTGTTGAGATCTCTTCCCAGCTCGAATTGGCCTCTCCTGTAGCCCCGCACTAGAAAGTCAGTGAGAAGGGTCCCAGTGTGGAGGCCCCAACAGGCTATCTCCAAGTGCAGCCTTTGAGCACTAATCTCTCACTGTGAATGATGGGTACCAGGGCAGAGGAAGAGAGTGGAGGGCTGCAAGCCTGGGGTATGGCTTAGAGCAGACTGATCCTGGCTGGGAGTTGGCAGGTCATGTTGGAGTGCATTACTGGGAAGAAATGTGAGGGGTTGCGCAGCCCCATGCTTTTTCCTCTCAAAGTACAGAGTAGAACTGAGCAAGTTAAGTAATCAAGATGAAGCTTCTACTAGAAAAGCTGCTAACATAGTTATGGTCTGTTGTGGTGGCCCAGGCCAGTGTCATATGCTAAAGAGGCGGAGGCAGGAGTATCTGAGTTCGAGACCAGTGTGTATTGCACATTTCTTATTCCCAAACACAGACTATGACTCTGGAGCTATGTTCGTTGGCAGAAACTAAGCTTTATATCCTTAGTTTTAACTTTTAATGCATAGTTGTTGGGGTCCAGTGCTAGCCTGGACCCTATGTTATTTTCTCGACTAGACCCCAACATAAGCCCCGACATAAACTATCTCTTTCTGGACCAGCATGCAGGCACAGAAATAAAGACAACTCCTATGGCTTTATTGAGAGGGAGATTCCCAGTGGTCCCTCATGAAGTCCTGAGTTCACATATTGAAGTGTTCCTGCCACTTTATTTTCCAAACAGCTTTTATACCAAAACATAAACTAAGGGGTAAAATACATTAGCATTCTGTCTCCTAGGTAACCAGGTAAATGGCTTTTAGTCATGGCCACAACTACCTGTGTGTTCTGTATGCTAGCTGTCACGTAGGCTTAAATCCGCATCTCTATCACACATCCTCCAAATTACAAAAAAAAGAGAACAAAACAACATCCTGACCTTTTGTTAGGTTAGCGACAGCTTATCTAAAAGGGTCCATGACCACCTCAGATGGGGCCTATGGCTTGATAGCCTGATTGCCATACCATATAGAAATATGGGCCTACACATGGTTAAGGTAGGATTGTCTCAGGTATACTGTGAATTTCCTTCCTGTAAGTACCTAGATATTTGGGAGGATTCTCTACCCTCCTGCCACCACACAATAATTCTGCTGGCCACAAACGAGGCCAGGTTCACAGTGGAATCCCTTGATTTCATTCAGGACATGGTATTTATCATGCAGAGTAACATTTCAAAAACAGAATAATTCAAAATTTGAAGTCAATGTTACTTTTTTGATCCAATAGAAGAAATGAACCAAACTTATCACCAACAGGAAGCCCAGAAAACACCACTGGGGTGTATCCACTTCCTCCTCTTGGTTTATATGGAAATACACATGGAGCAAATGTAAGGGACCCAAAACACACATAGAGCCATGTGGGAGGGGAGAGACCGAGATAAAATTCTTAATCCACACCTCACATGTAGAGGCCATCAGCTCCACAGATGACGGTGGGAAAGGAAAAGAAGAAAGCAAGGCTTTCCAGGGAATCTTGTCCTGTCCTTGTCCTTCACTTTGATTTTTTTGTCTAACCATTATCTATAACAACTTGTAACCAACACTCTAAGCAAACATAAATATCCATAATCCATTTTTGGGGGAATGTGGGTATAGTTTTCTAGGCTACTTCTATGCTGATAATCTTATGGGTACCTAAAGAAAATTTAGGATTATGGTCAAGTCATGACTGGAATATTCTGTGAGGCTTGATCCTCTCAGCCAGCAGTCTTGAAATTGTTCTGGATGTGAAATTCAGAGGAAACTCCAATGGAAGTCCTCTAAAATGTTGGTTCATCTGGACCATCTGCTCCTATTAGAGATTTCTCAGGGGGTCTTCCTTGATCCAACCTTTTTTTTTTTTTTTAAAAAAAACCCAGAATGAATCCAGAGCCTCACATTTTCTGTAGATACAAAAGCAAAACCTCTTCTCCAAAGTAACTTATCTTTTGACTAAAATTTTGAAGTCAAAGCATTTTCAAAACATTAATTGAGAAACATTTATAATCTTTTAGCAACTGTTGTTCTTTCCTCAGCCATCAAATAATTCAAAGACAACACAATAACATACAGAATCCAGATTCTCTGTATATTTTCATCTTTATGTGGCTTTATTTTAAACTCTATTTCTTTTATTTTTATTTTTTGGTACAGGGTTTCTCTGTGCATCTTTAGTTGTTCTGGAGTTCAATCTGCAGACCAGGCTGCCCTTGAACTCACAGAGATCTGCCTATCTCTGCCTCCCAAGTGCTGGGATTAAAGGTGTGTGCCACCAAACCTAACAACTCTTTTTCTCTTTCTTTGTTTCTTTCTTTCTTTTTTGTTTGTCTCTTTCTTTCTTTCTTTCTTTCTTTCTTTCTTTCTTTCCTTCCTTCCTTCCTTCCTTCCTTCCTTCCTTCTTTCTTTCTTTCTTTCTTTCTCTTAAGGACTTTATCCTTTTTATTTTCTCTCCTAAGCCTACATATATTTTTAATCACACTGCAAACAGTTTAGAGTTTTTTTTCATCTGAATCTATCTTTACTGTATCTTTCTTTTTCTGACCACATAAGTCTTTATTTAGCTAGGTGATATGGCTAGGATTAAAGCTATGGCTTTGACAACTGGAGTAACCTCATTCCTTAGCTTTCTGAATGTCTAGCTACATGGCAGAGATACTGGCAAGAGCCATGTTTATTGCCACAACTGTATGGAGTTTCAGGTTCCCTGCCACCACTAAGATTCATGCTGTTGGCTATACATCAATATGATTGAACTGCTTAGTGGCAGGACATCTTAAAAGAGATGCAAATTCTTTTCAGTTAAAGCTGAAATTTTAAAGTTTAATTTCAGTTAAAGACAGTCAGGAAGCCTGTCTTAAATGAGGTGCACTTGCCTCTACCAATCAGTGCCCCCCCCAAGAAAATACTGCTACCAAGAATCCACCCTTAACTCTGTTCTTTTGTGTCTACAATTACTTCCCAAGCTCTCAAGTTTTATGGGGATGTAGCTGTCTATGCTGGCACCATTTGTTGGCAGAGGCTTCTGTGCCACCTGGTACCATAGCCATTCAGTCCAAAAAAATACATGGAGCCTTATATTAATTATAAACGGGTTGGCCTGTTAGCTCAGGCTTCTTATTAACTAACTCTTACATCTTAAATTAACCCATAATTTTTGTCTGTGTTACTCATGTGGCTTGTTAACTCTTATCAGTGAGGCATTCTCATCTTGTTGCCTCTGTGTCTGAGTGACAATTTCAGACTGAGGCTTTCCTCTTCCCAGAATTCTCCTGTTCTAGTTGCCCTGCCTATTCCTGCCTGGTTACTGGCCAATCAGTGTTTTATTAAACCAATGCAAGTAACAAATTGTTAGGTATACAAAACCATTGTCCCACAGAAGCTGGTTAGGAATTCATAGTTTCCTATCTTCTGTGGAAACAAAAGCAGAACCTCTGCTCCAAAGCAACATATCCTTAGACCAAAATTTTGAAGTCAAGATATCTTTAAAATATATATGTTGGTTTAGCTTAACAGCCCCCACAATCAAATGTCTCTGTGAAGTCAAAAAACTGAAAGAAAGCACAATAATATATATATTCCAGACTCTCTGCATATTCTATCATTATGTGGCTTATTTTTCTTTACTCTTTTAATATATGATTGTCTGTACTGTCTTATATTACTTTTATTGTCTATTTAAATACTTTGTCTTTTTTTTAAACTTTAAAAAGAAGCTTTTATTTATTTTGTAGCATGTGCATTACCGGAAACAAAACACAAGAAGCCAAGAACAGTCACCCAGTCACATGCAGTTCAGCTTGCTGTGCCCCTCTGGATGCTGCAAGTGTACATACATTAGGCAATTGAGGTTACACAGTATGTATCATGCTTGCCCCCATACTGTGATTATTCACCATCTAAAACCCCACGCTACATGAGTATGTGGATAACCAAGAATACACCACGCCATCTCAATCTGTCAGACAAAGCTGCAATCCTGTCTTCCTTGGCAACAAAAATTTCATAGAAGACAAAAATGGCAGCAGGCCTCTAGATAGAAGTGCTGGCGAAGTTACAGTTAAAATTCTGCATTCCCTCAATGCTCGGCTTACAGGGACACACAAATAACAGAGCACACTAAGCACAGCATTCCTAAGTTTATCTTCAGATCTACACACTAAAATGTGAGGGCGTGTTCCTGCTCAATACATGTATTCCTATGGAGCACTGAAGATGCACCTATGACGGGTTCTCAGGATGTCATTCTCAATACAGCGCAGGGCTGCAGACCTCACCTGTGAGCCTCCCTCTGTCCCTCCACAGTCAACCTAGCAATATGTCCAGACACGGCTCAACAATTCCACGTTCAAGAGGAACCTTTCCTGTCGTTCTGTCAAGCTATACCTTTAACCATATCCACTCCTTTAGGTCATTTATGAAGTTCAGATGTTGTGGAATGAACTTTGAGCACAATAAACACAAGTATCTTCCCAGCAATGCACATATGGATCCCTGGGTACAGTTGAAATTGTCTTCTAGATGTGGTGGTCCTAGCCAAGAGCTCTTCCCTCATCCGTCCTCTTCTCTGTCCACCTCCAGTTCAGGATGATGCTAGTCAACGTATGACAAGTGTCACCTCCAGAAGACAGCCCTTCCAAAAGACCAGCAGGACATTTATACTGACTGTTCTACTTCTAACACCTGGGCACTGGGACTTACCCTCTAATACTTGGCAACATTAACGGAAATGCAAACGGGAACAATGGCAGGACAACCGGGAACCAGCCAACAGGCACAGCACCTTACTCTGCACTATCTTTCCCCTGCCCACCTCCACCGCCTGGGAACAGCATCTGCTCAAAGAGCATGTCTAACAGTTCCAATTCCAGTGTAACCATTCCTATGAAATAATAATCCTTAAAAGGTGCTGTTAACCCTCTATTTTCACGGTGTGTGCATTTTTTACTTTATGAATTAGTGTAGGCACATGATGCCACTTTATTTGTATGGAGGCTAGAAGACAATTTGTGGATCAGTTTCCTCCTTTTATGTGGATCCTGAAGATCACATCCGGGTCACCAGTTTGCGGCAGGTGCCTTTACCATTGTGCACATTTTCTTACTCTGAGAGACAAAGCCCTGGCTTGTAGCTCTGGCTGGCCTGGAACTCACAAGATCCACCTGCCTCAATCTAGGACTGAAAAGTTTAAAGACTAGATGTTTCCAGTAATACTTCCGTGTCCCCAGCACATGTACAGTGCGGGGCAGAAAATAAACCGCGCATCCCTAACAGACCTACGAGAGCATCGCTCTGGTCTAGAACCTCCCTCCTCTCTTAACCTGTCATGCATGGTTCTGTGGGTATAATAACAACTTCACTTCCTACATGGTTTTAAGAGTTCTTTCCTATGAATTTTAACACAGCTTTAAAACACTACTCTACTCTGTCACATATTGGCAGCCTCTTTCCCTTCTAGAAGACTAGGTGCTGCATATTTGGACTCGTCTGTCTTCTGCGTACATGATATACTGCAGAATAAGCACAGAAGAAAGGGACAATGGCTAATCTTACATTACTATTAGGTCTTCATCCATTTTCTTTCTTCCTCCCTCCCAATCCAGCACAAGTCTGTATTGCTCAGAAGTGATTTTATCATTCCATTTCCAAAAGACGGCATTTCACCACGAGTTTAAACAGGAGAATCTACAACATGTATTATTTACTACATCTACCTTTAACATACTTTGTGCACTTCTAAACTCCTAGAAGGACTAGATGTTTCAGGTGGGGACATAAATTTGTCCCCTATATACACAGTAGTGTGGAAACCACACACATGTAACAATGGTTAGATCTCAACGTGTCTTCTGCTGAGAGCATTCTGGTCTCCGACTTTTTTCTTCAGCCTCTCCTCTGTATCCCAAGACACAGGCGCCTGCCACTTGAATGATACTTTCACAACTCTTCAGAAGACAACCTTGCTGTGAATTTTAACACGGAGTACACAGAAGGTGTTAGTTTACTACTAACTCTACTTTTGTCATATGCTGGCAATTTAATACCTAGAAACTAGGTATCATAAAATGAGGACTCCTTTGTCCAGTATGTCCAGTATGTACAGCATAGCAAAGTTAAATGTATATAACACACAGGGTGATGGGAAGCTAAAAAGGTCTAGCACACTAATGGGATCTTTTTGCAGTTCCTTCCCTCCCACCCCCTCAGTCCACTGGACAAGTCCAGCCAGTGCACTGTTCTGGGGGGTGGGTTAGCAATTCTACTTCTAAACATAGTATCTCCAGTTTTTCAAAAACTATTTACATAAAGTATCATTCTACTACTTCTACTTTTAAATGTATCAAACACTGAAAATACCTAGACAGACCAGGTATCTCATGTAAAAACTTATCCCCTATCCACACTGCACTGGCAAATAAAATTGTATGCAAAGCAATGGTTGTTATCTGAGGTATCTTCTAAATATAACCATCCGGGCTGTGACTCACTTTCTTCTCCCTTCTCTGCCTTCAAGCCAGCAAATATAGACATACACAATGCCTAGAAATAGCTGAATAAATTCATATCCCCAAATCATTTACAGAGCAATCTTTCCTATAAATTAACAGTGTATACAATGTGCTAATTTTACTACTTTGTGATACATTGGCAACCTCTATACCATCTAGAAATGAGAAGCTGAAAATTTTAGTCAAGTGTCCATTATATACAGACTACACACAGCCAAACTAAAGGCAAATATATAGCAATGACATCTGAAAAGGTCCCATATAAACACACTAGCACATGACCGTGTTGCTTCTCATTACTTCCTCCAGACCCTGAGCAAGTACAGACAGTATTGCTCACAGAGGGCTCCAGCATTCTACTTCCAAAAGGCAGTGCTTCATGAATTTTAGCAAAAAGATATTTACAAAGCGATATTTTACTACCTCTACATTTAACATACGTTGGGCACTTCTAAACATCTAGATAGACCAGATGTTTCAAGTAAGGACTGTTGTCCACTGTGTACACGGTAGTCCAGTAAACGGCACACGTGTAACAAGAGTAGTAATTAAAACAATTTTAACACAAAAAGAAAAATTTTAACATAAAAAATAGAAAATGTATTCTACTACCTCTACTTTGTCATACACTGGCGACCTCTTTGACACCTAGAGTGACTAGATGTCGTAAATTAGGACTCCTTTGTCCTTTATATATGCTATGTACACGGCAAAGCCAAACACAGTGGAGCACAATGGCTCACAACTCTGCGTTTCCTTCCCCTGGGAACCAGGGCACAAACACAATGTGGTCAACTCGGGAGGGGTTTGACTCTTCCTTACCAAACAATATTTCAAATGAATCCTAACAAAGACGTATTTACATAATGTGTTGTTTTCCTACCACTACTTATAAAATACATCAGGCACTTTAGAGCATTTAGAAAGATAGCTCCAAAAAACACTCGGCATTGACACACACACACAAACGGGGGCGGGGGTTGAGAAATGAACAAAATATGTACACAATACAACAGAAAAAAAAAAAGACGTCTTCTTCACACGACCAATCTGGCTCCGGACCTCTTCTTCCTCCGGCTGGGTCCTCTAACCTGTTGAATAAACACGAACGAGTGTCGCTCCAGGGGTCTTTCTAGAGGTGGCCTAAACAATTCCACTTCAAAGTCACTTCTAGAAGACACGTCTACGGTGTTTTTAAAGACGACTGGGTACACACGTGTGGTTTCCTACCTCTACCCTGCGTAGGCAATCTCTACTGATTTAGCCAAGGTCTCTAAAAGAAGTCCAGATTTAGCCAAGGTGTCCAGATTTAGCCAAGGTCTCTAAAAAAGTCTCTTTAGCGAAGGTCTCTCTAAAAAGGTCGGGGGAAAGGCTGAGAGCAGCTTTTTCATATTAAATACAATGCCTTCTACGGCGGCGGGGAAATGTTCGCCAGCGTTTCCGACTGGCCGCTTGCGATGTCAAGTCCCGGCCTCTCTCGGGTGGAAGGGGGACCCCGCGGCCCTACGATCGATCGTTCCTCCCGCTATGCTGGACTCGGCTCACCTTCCTCCAGGACCGTCGAGGCCTCTGTTCATTCAAGTCCGAGGGCTCAACAGGGCGGTCCCCTCCCAGTGATGGGTGAGTGTTCCTGCGTAGACCCGCCGCCTCAGGCTACAGAGGCCCTCAAGGGCCAATCTTGGCCTTCGAGTGGCCGCCATTCTTTCCGCTGTGCCACGCTCGCCGACACCAGGAGATGTCCTGGCTGGGGCTTCTCCACGGGCCCGGTCCTGGAGAGCAGGGGGCCGGTGGATGTAGGAGGCCGTGCGCAGAGGCCACCGCCATCGATGCCTTTCGTTAGAGGGAGAAGGGTCGCAGCAGGATCGCGGCTGCTGGGGAGAGCTCAGGATTCTGAGGTCCGCAGGACCGAGACCAAGGGCCCCCCCCCCTCACCCGGTGCAGGCCGGAGGAAGGAGGCCGCACCCTAGCTCGCCACGCTCTCTGCCGGAACTCCTTTGTCTTATTTTTTAAAACTATTTCTTTTTTTCTGGTTTGTGGTAGTGTATGCCTTTTATCTAAGCGCTTGGGAAGCAGGAGCAGGAGCATCTCTGGGAGTTTGAGGCTAGCCTGGTCTACAAGAGCTAGTTCCAGGACAGGCTCCAAAGCTTCAATGAAACCTTGTCTCAAAGGAGAGAAAAAAAAACAAAACCCACCAACATCAATAACAATAACCCCCCCAAATCAATTTATTTTTATAACTGTGTATGTATTCTTTTTCTTCTCTCTCCCAAGTTTATGTATATTCTTAAAAACATACTCTGACCAGTTTAGAGGTTTATTTTTGTCTGAATCTGTTTTTATTGTGTATCTAACATTCTTTTCATACAGGGAACATTTTAAAATGGTAAGCAGTGTAGTCCCAGCGGCCCTGGATGGTTGCTCTGCTTCTCTTGGCCTTTCAATATGGTAGAGGTACCTTTACTGCCAGCTCTGGGCCTTCCTGGTGGGAGTTGTGACCACCACTTCAGCTCTGGGAAGCAGTTGACCTAAGATGCCACCAAGTAACTTACCATCTGTTTTCCACAAACCCTATTCAAGTGCTTGACCTCCAGAAAGAGCCAGAGCTGTTCATGTAAAGAGCATGAATCAGGAAGCCTTCTTAAAGGAGCTGCACAGTTTTTGCTGCTACCACTGACTCAGGAAGCCTTCTCTTAAAAGCATCATGCCTCTGCTTCTTTCTAGCAAACAGAGCCCATGTGAGAAAACACTGCTACCAAAAAAAATTCATGTTTAACTCTGTTCTTTTGCATCTAGAATTCCTTCCCAAGCTCTCTCAAGTTTTATTTGAATGTTGTTGCCCCAGGTTGGGCACCATTTTGTAGGCAGAGACTGCTCGTTCCTTCCCAGTTGCCCTGACCTGAAAAATCACATTGTATTAATTACAAACACTGCTTGGCCAATAGCTTATATTTCTTATTAACTGATTCTTACATCTTAAATTACCCCATTCCTATTATTTTAGGCTCATCAGTAAGTTTCAGAAGGTTTGTCTCCTTGGGCAGCTACATGACATCTTCCTGACTTAGCCCGCTTGCTCTCTATATCTGTGTTCGGATAGCCTGACTGACTTTACTCCATGAAGCCATTGGCTGAACAACTTCTGTAATAACCAGTGGTAATAAAACATAGTCATAGCATACAGAGTGGAATCCCACATCATACAGCATTGCCTTTCCAACGGGAAAAATGAAAATCCTGTTCTTCAGTCCAGAAATCTGAGAATTGGAAGTGATTAACAGCCTGGTGATCTGTGCTATATTTTGAGTCAGGCCATATCAAGGTCTTACACCAAGACCAGAGGTGGCTAGTAATCTAAATGACCCTGATAGCCAGAGGCTCCACCAAGTTCCCATAAACAGGTCCAGAGGTGACTAACAGCTCAAACGATCCCTACATTATCCTTATGAACAATATCAGGCCAAACTCCTAGGCCCTTAAGCTAGTACATGTAGCCTATCTCTAGAACCAATCCTCTTGGAAGAAGTGACATGTTCCCTGAGTTGAGCGTCAATGTAATTATGCTTCCTGTTGTAGGAGGGCCACTTGTTTGTCCCAGCTGCCCAGACCGGAAATAATCATGCAGAAACTGTATTAATTAACTGACTACTTGGCCCATTAGCTCAATCTACTTATTGGCTAACTCTTACATATTAATTTAACTCATCTCCATTAATCTGTGTTTGCCACGTGCAGTGGCTTACTGGCGAATGTTTTGGGATGTCTGACTCTGGGAGCAGCTCTGTGGCATCTCCCTCTCCACCTTCCTTCTCCCAGCATTTAGCTTAGATTTTCCTGCCTACCGGCATTATACCTTGCTATAGATCCAAAGCAATTTCTTTATTCATTAATCAATAAAAGCAACACACATACCAAAACACCTCCCACACTATTTCCCCTTTTCTGTTTAAACAAAAAGGAAGGCTTTAATTTTAACATAGTAAAATTAAATATAACAAAACATATATCAAGCACAAATGACATTTACAATATTTATATCTATTTTATCTTTCATCATAACTAAGAAAAACTATAACTATAAATTCTTCAACTCCATCAGAGAATCCAGAAGGATATATTACCTAAGTAAACAGGAAGTGCATTGTAAGCAACTTCCAAAACTCTAGAATTGACAGAGACATCTTGCTACCTGGACAGTCACCCAAAGGTCTTCTGTACCATTGGGGCATCCATCTTCAGCCTACGGGCCCATAGTACCCGGCAGACTTTTCCATGAATCAGGAAATTTTAAAGACAGTTCAGCCACTTTCTTTTGTATCCTGCAGAATGTCTCACAGACTCTTTCATGAAGCAGGAACTCTGAAGGATCATTTCACCTTTAAGCAAGCTCAGCAGTCATTTCTTTGCGGGTCCTGCATGTCCAATTCAGTACTCTAGGCAGGAACAGTTTCTTGCCCAAATGGCTAGCAAACTCCATAAGGAGCCTCTTCAATGCCCATCTTAAATTTCAAAGACAGTTCAGCCTATATTGGCAGCTTGTCAGTAATTTTCTTCTGTGTCCAGCTTATCCATTTCTGGATACCATGTACATTGTCAGTGAGTGAGCCCTCCTCCAACAGCTTCCTTGTACAATGGGGATTGTATTGCACCAGGAAGCTCTTTTCCAAACTATACTGGGCTTAAATGTATTGGGATTAAACCACCTGTGATTAGACTTCTTGAAGTCTTATCCAGATTGATGAAGTCAATCTGCATGGGTTTTCATTCTTATCTCTTCATGGGGTTCCCTTCCCTTTTTGACATCTGCAGGGGCCTCTCATTTATTTCTTCCTTGTTTTTAGACAAGGTTTCTCTTATATCTTTCTTTGGATGCTGACCCAAGTCCCAAACTTTCTTCCTTTGACTCATTTAACAATCTCCATCTCCTGAAGGCTTCCCACCCCATACTTGCAGATGTCCATGACTGAGCTTGACTGCTTCCCTGATCTCTGCAAGCAGCCCTTTTACACTCTCACCAGCTCTCTCCATAATGCCCCCAACTCGGTGTTAGTAAGCCCAAGTGTGCTCATCACTGGGTCCAGGACTTCCAGATAAACACCCTAGTTGCCAGGCAGTGGTGATCCCAGCACTCTGGAGGCAGAGGAAGACTGATCTCTGAGCCTTGAAGGTCAGCCTGGTCTACATGAGCTAGTTCCAGAACAGATACCAAAGCTACACAGAAAAACCCCATCTCAACAAACAAGCAAACAAAAAAAATCCAAATAAAACAACACCAAAAAAGAAAACCACCCAGGCAATTAATTGTTCACACCTTCCCTGTGGTTGCTAAGCCTTTCACAAGCCATCCCTTGATTCCCTACTCTGCTGCCATCTTTTCTATTTTAAAGATGTCTTTTTTATTATCCCTCTGCACCCATCCTCCCAAGTTCCTTTTGCCTTCACTTTGGAGTACATATACCCCCTGCCTGTCCCTGTAGCATGATGGGCAGACTTGTTGGGGTATCTGTCCCGCTCAGGACCCCACAGCCGGCAAGCCCAAAGAAAATCACACCCAAGACTCCATAAGATTATAAACTGATTGGCCCATTAGGTCAGGCTACTTATTAGCTCTTATAACTTATGTTACCCCATTATCCTTATCTACATTAGCCACATGGCTCAGTACCTTTCTCAGCTGGGCAAGTTACATGCTGCCTCTTCGGTGGTCTGCGCAGGAATGGCAGAGGGAGCTTCCTTCTTCCCAGAATATTCCCAGTCTCTTTGCTCCACCTCTACTTCCTGTCTGACTTTCCTGCCTATACTACCTGCCTGGCCAATCAGTATTTTATAAAAATATGATTGACAGAATACAGACAATTCTCCCTCATCATGTCCTACATTTGACCTTGGGGGTTTTGTTCCAGGGATTCTGACATAGCCCCACTACTTTGGCCTGGTCTTACAAAAGAACCTCACCTTCCTGGACTTGCCCCCTCATCTCCTCCAGCATGCAGACGATCTCTGCTTATGCAGCGTTCTCCACAGACTGATCTCCCACACTCCATGACCCTCTTAACTGGCTGCTGGCGACTATAAGATTTCAGGACACAAGGCCCAGATCTGGCAGCCATTAGTCACCTACCTGGGCCTGTCAGTCTCAGAAGAGGGAGCACTATATTCAGGGCCAGGTGAGAGAAACTCATTGCCTTTCCCATTCCACAAACCAAATGTGAGCTGCTTGCATTACCAAGCCTCTTTAATTTCTTTGCATAGGGACCCTCAACATTTCCCTTGCTGCTCAGCCTCTCTATCATGGCTCTCAGGGGCCCCTAGAGCAGTCATCCTCCCCCTCCATCCTCCATCATAAGCACACTTAAGTCTGTCCCCTGGCTTCTACACCAGCCTTTCACATGCTAACCAAGAACAAGTTCTCAAACACTTTGTCAAAAGTTGGAATGGGATACATATTACCCCTGGTTTATTTCTCTAAACAGTTAGACATAGTTACTGTAGGCTGGACATTTGTCCCTAGACCCTGGCCACAGTGAACTTCTTATCCCTGAGACAAAGAAAATCTCACCTCACAGCCCCCTATTCATGCTCAGTACACACTCACTCCAGGGCCTCAATCAGCTACTGAGATTTCCTAACTCTCCCTCCATCAAGGGTCAAGCTGCTCCATACTTACTAATAATAAATCACAGCCTCATAGTTGGGTCACACACCCACCTCACAACACTTCTCCAATAATCCTTCCAAGTCCTTTGGCCTCCCGCTCTACTCAGAGACACTTGCCCTGTCTTCTAACCCTTTGTCCATATACTGGATCACCCCCTAAAAAGTCCCAGATTGTTTTACAGATGGAAACAGTCTAAAATAAACCCCTTAACAGCCCAGTGTGCAGCAGGCAACCAGAAGGTCAGAGAAACTGAAGAGGAGATGTGGGTAGACAAACTATTGAACAGGTGCCCAGATACACACGGGAACTGTACCTGAGGGCCAAAGCTTAGTTTATTTTATTTTCCTCTTTGCTGGTTGTCCTTCCTCTTCCTACTCTTTTTTTCTAATTTATTTATTTACTTATTTATTTATGGTTTTTTGAGACAGGGTTTCCCTTGTGCAACAGTCTTGGTTGTCCTGGAAGTCGATCTGAAGACCAGACTGGCCTTGAACTCACAGAAACCCACCTGCTTCTGCCTTCTGGGTGCTGGGAATGAAGGTGTGCACCTCCAATGCCTGCTCTGTTCTTTTATTCTTCCCTCCCTTTCTTTGTTTTCCCAGATGTCCCCCTTCTAGTTCTTTGAGATGTTCTTGCTTTTTTTCTTCCCTGATGTTCCCTTTACAACTCTCCTTATTCTTATTTTTCCTATTTTTATTTTCCTCTTATTACTGTTATACCTAAGACAAAAATTCCATTCTTTTTTCTTTTTTACTTCATATGAGTGCTCTGTCTGTATGTACATCAGTTTACTGTCTTTTGGCTCTCAGATGCTCTCAGCGAATTAATTCCTTCCTGAGCATTTCTCCCTTCTGCTCCTCCCTAGCTTTCTGATAGTCCACCCACATCTGAGAAAGCAGCTGGAGGCTGTGGGTGGAGACAAGTGGCTCCTGGCCAAAGGACAGCCCTTAGCTGGCACCCCATAGGCCTGTGGAGAGCAGCAGGCGGAGTTTGCTGCCATTTATGGTGTGCCAGAGGCACACCGGTTGGCTGTGGCTATAGAAGCGGGTGTCTTCACACCAGGTCAGAGTTGTGGGCAGAGACCTGAGCGGGTTGATTCTGAGAGCCTGGTGAATGGGGAAATAATGGAGCCAGGCGCTAAGGCCATTATGTTTGAGGACGTGAGCGGCCTGTCCTTGTCCATCAGCTGGAACAACAATGATCTGCTGGAGACGACAGGTGAGAGCCCCGGAGGAGGGAAGAGGGGCCAGGACTCTGGGCACAAGCCTGAGGGCACTTCCTGGGGTTGGGCTCCCTCCTCAGGGAAAAACTTACCGGAGACAGATAAGTCCTGGGCAGAAAGGCATGTGGATGTTCGGCAGGTTACAAGGTAGCAGTGGGGCTCGTGGGCAGAGCAGTGTGTCCTTGGGATTGTGGACCGTGGACACTTTAGTTCATTCCTGCATCTGTGCGACGTTTCTCTAGAACGTGTCGCAGTGATTCTAGAGAAACCTTAAAGGAGCCGTCAGCTAACCACTAGTTTTCCTTTACACACAATAAGGTCATTTCATTTCTTTTCACGAGTTTGTTTCTTCAAGGTGCATACCGGGGACTGTGATTAATTCTGTGAGCTACATGACCAAGGAACTGTGGCCTAAGTTTGGGTGCAGAGACAAAGTTTTCTTGATCATCAGCCTGTTTTTCCAGAAACAGAATTCATGGGTCTATAGTGCGTGAAACTTCCTTCTTAGTTTCCATCCTAGACAAATCTCACATCTAACAAAGGGGAAGGTAACTTTTCGTCTATTTTTGCCGTTTTTATTTCTCTTATCAGAGCAATTGTCTCAATAACCTAAACCATTTTCCTAATCATCTTTACTGTATTAACTACCTGTATCTTTTAGGCGAACACAGAAAGTTCAATTAAATCATTGAACTAACTAAGCATCATTACTCCCACAAAAATAATCTTCATTATGATCTGCAAGTAAAGTGGGATTTAATGTTGCCAAGCAGGAACACTGCCACAACAATCAGGAGGAAGGACAGCAGAAGCAAGGGGCATTTTGAAACTCAACCCCACCTCTTCTCTCTGCTTCAAAGCCCTCCCCCTCCAACCGGCACTTGCTTCTTCAGGGTTTAGATTTACTATTCAGACATTTAAACTTCACAAGCTCCCTTGCTGACTGTAGCTCCTCTGACATGGGCACTGGCAGAACCCCACTAGTCCCACAAGCCCACACTTAATAGAAGCCAAATCCTTACCCTTTACACAGCTTCCCAATGGCAGAACCAATTGTTCCTACCTGGGCTCTCACACTTGCTTCCAGTCTTAGAGTCAACATATACACTGGTTTCAAATACATCTGCAGCATAACACATGCAACACCTTACTCTGGAGAGAAAGGGCTTTCCTAAGGAAAAGGAAACATCAATAATGAACTCCATTTTCATACAGAAATGAAACAGTTCTCCTTCCCAAGCAGCCATTGCCTACTGCAGGGGACAACAAAAAAAGACAAATGATTCTTTGCTCAAAATCAGGCTGACTAGTGTCCCAACAGACTGCCCTGTCATATCCTACCTCTGCTCCAACAACAACACCATCTCCAGAGCCAGTCTTGTCCACTCAAGACACTGCTTCCCACAGCTGTCACCACACACAAGGCACTGGACAGTAAGTCTCGGCTTCTGGACTATGGATGACTTTTCTGCCCCTAGGAAGGCTGAAGCCAGTTTCTTCCCGTGGGAATTTTGTCTCATCCACCCTTGTGGTGTGGACATTTACTCATCTGCCCACATGGCATGGGATGCCATCCTTCCATGAGAGTGAGATCTGAGATTCATGGGATCCTCAAGGTTAGGCAGTAGATTACTCTTAGTTCAGTAACTAGAAGACCCTGGGTCAAGTTGTGTTTCTGGCATCTCTGGCCTTCTTTCCACCATGGCCATCCTTTATGAACCAGAGTCTTCTTTGAAGGAAGAAGCATTCTTTCAGGACTTGTAGGTGATTGTAAAGTGGGTTTTTGCCATAAGTTTCTTTTATTTTACTTAAGAAATTCTCAAAGTTGGCATTCTTACATTTATATTTTACAGATGAAGAACAACAAGGACAATGTCTCAGAATCATCTCCCCCGTGTCTCCTGCTGGGCTTCACTGCTGCTGTGCAGTGATCATTGTCCTCACTGTAGCTGTGATTGCACTTTCTGTTGCTCTGTCACTGTCAGGTGAGTGACATCTCCAGATCCTGCAGCATTCTGTCCACATCCACACTGTCAGTTACACTTACTGAGCCCTCTGATCTGGTTCTGTGGGAAAGGCTAAGAGAAAACACATCGAAATTCCTATTCTCTTAGTTGAAATATATTCTTCCCTGATCCCACATTCATCCTTCCTCCCTTCCCCCCATCCCGGTCAACCGAGCTTTCTCCATTCCTCCCCTACTCCCTTCTCTCTAACCCTCTCCCCTTCCATCAACCCTCCCACCCCCACCCCCCATGCACCCAAGGTTACCTGGGACTCTTGACTATTTCCTACCTCCTGGCGGATAGGTAAATAATCTTCATCAGGTTCGTCTTCTTATTTAGCTTCTCTAGGATCACGAATAATAGGCTCAAAGACCTTTAATTATGGTTAGAATCCACTTATGAGTGAATACATACCGTGTTCCTCTTTTTGGGTCTGGCTTACCTCACTCAGTAAAGCGTTTTCTATGTCCATCCATTTGCATGCAAAATTCAAGATGTCATTATTTTTTACCGCTGAGTAAAACTCTAATGTGTATATGTTCCACACCTTTTTTAACCATTCTTCTATTGAGGGGCACCTAGGCTGTTTCCAGGTTCTGGCTATTACAAATAGTGCTGCTATGAACATAGTTGAACAAACGCTTTTGTAGTATGTTTGGGCATCTCTAGGGTATATTCCCAAGAGAGGAATTGCTGGGTCCTGAGGGAGGTTGACTCCCAGTTTCCTGAGAAACCTCCACACTGATTTCCAAAGTGGCTGCACAAGTTTGCATTCCCACCAACAATGGATGAGTGTTCCCCTCATTCCACATCCCCTCCAGCATAGGCTATCGTTGGTGTTTTTAACTTTAGCTATTCTGACAGGTGCTGAGTACCTAGGGTCAAATAGAAAGAGTCAGAGAAGGAACAGCGCAGGCTGTGCTGTGCACAGGAGGCCAGGCTCAGCATCCCTGGGAAGAGGACATTCGACAACCTCTAGAGAGATGGAGGAGACATGTCTACCAGGGGAACAATTGAAGGCAGTGGACAAGTAGAAAAAACCTGAGTAGGAAACTTAAGTAAGCTGCTACAGCTAGGGGCAGAGAGGGCAGTGAAGAGTAATATGGTTGATGAAGGTACAGGACAACCCACCACCCCATGATTCATGGTTTCAGTTAATATTCACCGATGGTCTGAAAATATTAAATAGAATGTTCCAGAAATATGCTGTTCCTGAGTTTTTAGTTTTAGACTATTCTCAATAATGTGATAAAGTCTTGTACAGTTTCCCTGCCATAGCTGGAGTAATGATTCATGATATTGTTTTATAAAATCAACTTTAACCACATCAATGAATAATACACAATCTAAACATGGACAAACATTTGCCCCCAAGACTTAGTATGTATAATCTAAACTGTCACGTGACTCTAAGTAACAGTCATCGTTAGTGCCTGTTGCATCTGTTCCTTTCATTAAAGCCTCATGGTACTGTGTATAAGAACTGGGAACAGTTACAACAAATTGCCCTTCACTAAAAAAAAAGTGTGTGAGTGTCATTTCTAGTATTTAATATTGCTTATTAAATCATTCATTTCTATCCTCAGTAGCCCTTTCAAAGAGCCATGTAGTCATTCTTACTTGTTAAAGGAAGAAAAAGGCAAAGTTATAGAACAAAAATATTATCTTTCTAAGCAGTGTTGCATTTAGAACTTTTTTTTTCTTATAAGGACTTTATTTCAATTTTTATCTTTGTCTATTTGTTTGTGTCTGCTTTTTTAAAATCTTTTTTTATTAAAAATTTCCACCTCCTCCCATTTCCTTCCCCCTCCCCCCACTCCCCCTCCACCTCCCTCTCTAGTCTAAAGAGCAGTCAGGGTTCCCTGCCCTGTGGGAGGTTCAAGGTCCTCCCCGCTCCATCCAGGTCTAGAAAGGTGAGCATCCAAACAGACTAGGCTCCCACAAAGCCAGTACATACAGTAGAATCAAAACCCAGTGCCATTGTCCTTGGCTTCTCAGTCAGCCCTCATTGTCAGCCATGTTCAGAGAGTCCGGTTTGATCACATGCTCCATCAGTCCCAGTCCAGCTGGCCTTGGTGAGCTCCCATTAGATCAGGCTGCCATCTCAGTGGGTGGGCACACCCTTCGTGGTCCTGACTCCCTTGCTCATGTTCTCCCTCCTGCTGCTCCTCATTTGGACCTTGGGAGCTCAGTCCAGTGCTCCAATGTGGGTCTCTGTCTCTATCTCCATCCATTGCCAGATGAAGGTTCTATGGTGATATGCAAGATATTCATTCATCAGTGTGGCTATGGGATAAGGCCAGTTCAGGTGCCCTCTCAGCTGCCCAAGGAACAAGCTGGGAACATCTCCTTGGACCTGGGAACCCCTCTAGAGTCAAGTCTCTTGCCAACCCTAAAATAGCTTCCTTAATTAAGATATATACTTCCCTGCTCCCATATCCATCCTTCTTCCATCCCAACCATCCCATTTCCCCAAGCTCTTCCCGTTCTCCCCTTCTCACTTCTCTCTCCCCATCTCCCGTTACCCCCACCCCACCCCCACCCCCAATCTCCCAATTTTTGCCTGGCAATCTTGTCTACTTCCAATATCCAGAAGGATAACTATATGTTTTTCTTTGGGTTCACCTTCTTATTTAGCTTCTCTAGGATCATGAATTATAGGCTCAATGTCCTTTAATTATGGCTAGAATCCACTTATGAGTGAGTTCATACCATATTCATCTTTTTGGGTCTGGGTTACCTCACTCAGGATAGTGTTTTCTATTTCCATCCATTTGCATGCAAAATTCAAGATGTCATTGTTTTTTTACTGCTGAGAAGTACTCTAATGTGTATATATTCCACACTTTTTTTTATTAATTAATTTATTTGTTTATAAAAATTTCCACTTCCTCCCCTCCTCCCCATACCCTCCCATTTCCCCCACTCCCTCTCCTCCTCCCCCTCAACTCCCTCCCCTCCTTCCTCTCCAGTCCTAAGAGCAGTCAGGGTTTACTGCCCTGTGGGAAGTTCAAGTTCCACCCCTCTCCCTACAGGTCTAGGACGGTGAGCATCCAAACAGACTAGGATCCCAGAAAACTAGTACATGCAGACAAAGCAAGACCCAGTGCCATTGACAATGGCTTCTCAGTCAGCCCCCATGTCAGTCACATTTAGAGACTCCGGTTTGATCACATGCTCGTTCAGTCCCAGTCCAGCTGGCCTTGGTGAGCTCTCATTCGATTAGTCCCCTTGTATCCGAGGGTGAACGCACCCCATACGGTTCTGATTTCCTTTTTCATGATTTCTCTCCTTCTGCTCCTCATTTGGACCTTGGGGGCTCAATCCAGTGCTCCGATGTGGGTCTCCGTCTCTATCTCTATCTATCGTCAGATGAAGGTTCACTCTAGTTCTGCCTTTCTTGCTCACGTTCTCCCTCCTTCTGCTTCTCATTTGGACCTAGGGAGTTAAGTCCAGTGTTCCAATGTGTGTCTCTGTCTCTATCTCCATCCATCGTCCAATGAAGGATCTATGGTGATATACAAAATATTCATCAGTATGGTTATGGACCAGGGCCAGCTCAGGTACGCTCTTCTCTGCTGCCCAGGGAACAATCTGGGGATCTCTCCTTGGGCCTGGGAACCCCTCCAGAATCAAGACTCTTACAAACCCTAAAATGGCTCCCTTAGTTGAGAAATACACTTCCCTAGTCCCATATCCATCCTTCCTCCCCCTCCCATTCCCTCAAGCCATCCCCAATCCTCCCCTTCTTCCTTCTCTCTAACCATCTCCCCTTACTTCCACCCCCCACCCCACCCCCCACCCCCTGCACCCAAGTTTGCCTGGCAATCTTGTCTACTACCAATATCCAAGAGGATAACTATAAGATTTTCTTCAGGTTCACCTTCTTATTTAGCTTCTCTAGGATCACGAATTATAGGCTCAAAGACCTTTAACTATGGCTAGAATCCACTAATGAGTGAGTACATATCATATTCCTCTTTTTGGGTCTGGGTTACCTCACTCAGTAAAGCGTTTTCTATTTCCATCCATTTGCATGCAAAATTCAAGATGTCATTGTTTTTTACCAGTGAGTAAAACTCTAATGTGTATATGTTCCACACCTTTTTTAACCATTCTTCTATTGAGGGGCACCTAGGTTGTTTCCATGTTCTGGCTATTACAAATAGTGCTGCTATGAACATATTTGAACAAATGCTTTTGTAGTATGATAGGGCATCTCTTGGGTATATTCCCAAGAGTGGAATTGCTGGGTCCTGAGGGAGGTTGACTCCCAGTTTCCTGAGAAACCGCCACACTGATTTCCACAGTGACTGCACAAGTTTGCATTCCCACCAACAATGGATGAGAGTTCCCCTCTCTCCACATCCTCTCCAGCATAGGCTATCATAGGTATTTTTGAGTTTGGCTATTCTGACATGTGTAAGATGATATCTCAAAGTTGTTTTGATTTGCATTTTCCTGATCGCTAAGGAGGTTGAGCATGACCTTAAGTGTCTTTTGGCCATTCGAAGTTCATCTGTTGTGAATTCTCTGTTCAGTTCAGTACCCCATTTTTTAATTGGGTTAATTAGAGTTTTAGTGTCTAGTTTCTTGAGTTCTTTGTATATTTTGAAGATCAGACCTTTGTCTGATGAGGGGTTGGTGAAGATCTTCTTCCAGTCCGAAGGTAGCCTTTTTGTCTTACTGACAGTGTCCTTTGCTTTACAGAAGCTTCTCAGTTTCAGGAGGTCCCATTTATTCATTGATTCTCTTATTGTCTGCGCTCCTGGGGTTCTGCTTAGGAAGTGGTCTCCTGTGCCTATATCTTGTAGACTACTTCCCACTTTCTCTTCTATCAGGTTCAAAGTGGACAGATTAATGTTGATGTGTTTAATCCATTTGGACCTGAGTTTTGTGCATGGTGATAGATATGGATCTACTTTCATTCTTCTACAGGTTGACATCCAGTTATGCCAGCACCATTTGTTAAAGATGCT